TAGTTCGCATCACTTCGTATTGAATTACGAATTCGCAAAACAATGGTAAAATGCGAATTGTTGCATCATTTTTACGCCCAAAAATTGCGATTCGTCAATTCGTCTTTAGACACTTTGTCCACACTAATGGCTTACAGCTCTCTCGAACAATTTTAATCTTTGTCCAATTTTATTATAGAAAAAGAAATAGAGATTTTTATCAAATAATCAAAGTTGTTGAAGATAACTGGAAACCATATGAATCGATTCACTTTTTAAATTTTAATGAAGTAGTCTATCTTTTGCAGGATATCATTTGTTTACAAGTATTAAACTGATAATTAGAAAATATTTTAAGAATCTAGTTTGTACTATTGAAACTGTCATTGTTGATGTTTTGATCGTTAGGCTTAATTTCTTTATTGAACGTATTTCTACTGAATATTTAATGATATATGCCTTACAAATGAAAGGATTTTTCTTTCTCTCTTTTACGGAAAACAAAAAAATTCTTAAAATTTGTCACTGAATAAGATTATTACGAACAGAAAAAAAGAAAACCGTATTGTCAGCTAATAAAGTATTTATTCTCTTTCTTCTACTTTATTAAATATTTATCGTTTAGCACCGATTTTTAAGCTTTATATGACTGTAAATTGAAAATTTAAATTAAGGTTGAAGAGTACACACAAAAAAAAGTATATATCACCAATAAAATGATCTTTTTCACTTTCCTCCTTCAGTATAAATATTCTATCGAATCAATAACCTGGAAAATGTATAGACCCAAGTCTATTGTTAATAACGCACTGAACAGAAAAAAAGAAAAAGACGAAAGTGCCTGGAAATTGAGAGAAAAACAAACTAATTAATACGTCTAACCGTCACTATTAATTTTACTACAAAACATGTTAGTATGGCATGTCTGTATCTAATGAGCCGTATATTTTCGTATTATTATCAAGTTGTACTACGACAGATTCTTCTTGTAATTTTATCCTCGTATTTACTCGATTCATCAGCGATGCCTCATGGTAATTCTCAAAAAGAATTTATGTGAGTAAACTGAGTAACAAAAAATAACAGGTACCTTTTAGTTCGAAGTTACTGTGAAGATGAAGATAACACCAGTCATTTATGGTCAACACTGAAGAGTCATCCAATTACTAATTAATTTCTTGAGAAAACTTATTTAAAAATAACAATAGTCGTTTTTCAATGATGCATGTTGCCGTTTTCGATATACATAGATGAAGTAGAAGTAGAATCCATAGTTGTACTGTAAAAAACCAAATTTTTAATAACCTTCTAGTTAAAGAAAACGTCAAAACGTTTTATTCTTAGGAGCGTGCGCACTCTTCTAGATACAAAAAACTGCATAAAACACTTTGCTTTATAACTATCCTAAATGGAAGAACATGTTCTATATGTCTATACTAGGAAGTACGTACACATGATCTCTATTATATATAATCGCAAATCACATACGTTATAAAAATAATCAAGATGTATAGTACAGAAGTAATAATAAACGAATTTTAGTTAAGACCAAAGATGCAATTGTACCGGGTCCCATCAGCTTATAAATAAAAAATATGATAAAAAAAGAATTGATTTAGTAACATTTTGTACTGCCCAGAAAAAGAAATCCATTATTCATTATTCTCTGCTTGAAATATTCATATTTTCTACCATCAAAAGAATTTTTGAACAATCCGACAATCGGTCGCTTACTGTTCAACATTTTTAGAAAACTTACTGATCAGCCAGGTCTACCGGCCAGTCCGGTCAACAGTTATCTACCTGGTGACCGTGACTCACACGTTTGTTGACCGGTTGCATCCCTGGTTAAGGCCATACTTAATGTCATCACTTTACGTCATAGTCTCTTGTTCTGTATAAAAAATATAGAATGCAGCACGGCCAGGTAACTCTGCTAATGGGGTGAAATTCCGTGACGAAATTTTGATATTTTGCGGTGTTTTTTTAATGAAAGCACGTGCAGTGCTGTGGAACGTCTAGAATTATGAAACAAACGTTTCTCTACAAAATGAGGTATCTCAGAGCTCTGTACGTTTCTTTGTTTTAACAACAAACAGTAAATACTAGCTGATACTTTCCCAAACTGAAGCTTGAGAAGGGCATTTTGTATTTTCCTTTTACTTTTTAAATAAAGAAACGTACAGAGCCTCGAGACGCCTCATTTTGTAGAGAAACGTTTGTTTTACAATTCTAGACGTTCCACAGCACTGCACATGCTTTCATTAAAAAAATATAAACACAGCAAAATATCAAAATTTCGTCACGAAATTTCACTTCGGTAGCAGAGTTGTCTAATCGTGCCGAGTATTTCAATCCAAACTTATCAGGATCAATCGATGACTGGTCACTTATTAATTGATAAGTTAAAGGAAGTATTTATTGTCACTAACTAAAACTATTTTTTCAATTATCCATCAAGGGCTCGTTCATTCAATTGCATCATTCTGCTTGCATTTTATCAATACGTTCTTCTCTCGATGAGAGTAATTTTTAGAAACTAAATTGTGTGATAGAGGAAGCAAAACCAGAAGTATATCCTTGGTATTGTTTGAGTCTAAGGCAGAAAGGAAAGTGATTGCCAAAAGAGGAAGAGTAGAATCAATTTCGAAACTGAAATAAACACAATTTTATTTTTGAGAGTCGTGAGAGTGATACTTTCTTGACATTTAATAAATATTGATTTGTTTCTTCCGAGAAGTCAAGAGTAACGCGTAACAAATATATATCACTCAGCCTGACAAAACATAAGGCTCAAACGAATTCATGAGACTGTTTCTGATATGCACAAAACATCTTTCCGAACGGGAGACTGTTGGAAAAGACGAAAAACACCGCGCTTTGCGGCTAACATTGTCAGGGTGGAGTGTTGGACAAGCCTCTCTATTCTCGATATCTTTTTTGGAAAGAAATAATGTATTCAGAGTGTTTGAAAAGAACTGTTCGCAATGAAGACAATGTGTTATCTATCAAAGATGTTAGGGAAGGATAAACTGTACATGTAGTATATTATTACTGACGTTTAGGGTTAACAATACCGTGCAAAGTCCAATAACATCAACGACCGCCTATTCTTATCACCGTGATTCTATTTATGATGACGATAATAGTGATATTATTTTGCCGGTTTTAGTTGGTGCCTTTGTTGCTTTAGCACTCGGTTGGATGATACTTCGATATACGTGCTCATCGAAGGAACAATCACCGCACAACGTGAGATGTTGTCCAGAATCGTTATGGTCAAATATCCGATCAGTTACACAAATATTACAGTATGAAGTAAAAATTGAACTTTAAGAATAAAATGATGACAAAGTTTCCTTTTAATTTTAGACATAACCCAAGGGACAGAGATCTTTTGAGGTATAACACAGACGAAAAGCCTTCAGCTGATGAAAGAACGGCAAGAAAATCAAGGTAAACAACTAACATACTGGAGAAAAAGAACCTCGTAGATTTTGGGATAGATGGAGCACACATTTTCACTCATTGTACGATATCTCGAATGTGTCGTAAGCTAGTTGAATGATCATCGCAATGACGCATCTGCGATACTATACTGATCGTACGCAGCATATATCTACCCAGGCAAGCCTTTTTGTTGAGTTAACGCGGGTTGAAATGCTTTAGTTTGAACGAACGCATTTTGACGTGTTAGTGCGCTTTAAACTCATCGAAACGCGATTAAATCTGACGTATCGGAACGCGTTAGAAAAACAGATGCGTTAATTACCGCATGCGTCGATTTTCAACGCGTTTAACAGATGCAGTGTTTGGTGATCTAACTTGGCTGTGTTAGTTTCCGATGCGTTTTAATACGTTGGCAAAACAACGCGGAGAAACATCTTGTCTCAAAAAGTCACGTACATCTGGGGAATTTCTTAATAAAATGCAACTCAGTACCAGAATTCACCTTTAAACAGAAGTATGGGGAAGGCAAATATCGATCTAACAAACAGACTATTTCATTTCTCTCAAACACATAGTTAGGTGTATAATAGATAATTGTCTGCGGAAATACTTTATTCTAAGCGAAAAGATTTATTTACTTTGTAAATGAAACTCAGAAGTCATAGAATAAAGAAACATGTAAGTACAAGCTGTTTTCTTTCTCTACTTTGTTACTCTACTAGGTTGTACAGTAATTTGTATGCATATCTGGATATACATACAGACATGTAGCAGATTATTTCTTTTAATTTTAATTTTAAACGCATTCATTACTACTAAAAACTAAATGTTAGTTTTTAACGCGTTGAAATGATCAAAATTCATCCTGCTAAACGCGTTAGAAATTAACGCACATCAACGCGTTTTTTTACTAAAAAAGGTTTGCCTGGGTGATCTATTCCAGCTGATTGATTAGAAGATATAAGCAATTTGGTAGCGTTATTGCGCATTCATCTCATGGATAACGCACATAATGTTAAGACACTTCAACCGCTATATTTATTTCTTATTCAGTACTGAAAAAAATTATAGAGCCACTGTACGTTTGAAATTTTTCGATGAAACCGAGCGGCTAGGTCAAATCTGAATAGTACTTTGGATAGCCCTTCAAGTTCTCTATCAAATGCAGTATGTGTCAAAATTCCAGAAGAAAAGGTTTTGAACAAAGTTTTCTAGAATACCCCTCCATCAGAGCTCTAAGTCCTAGAAAATTTTGCTAAAACTATTTTCAATATAGCCATCTAAACGAGCATAAAATTCTGAAAATATGAACCGTCGCACAGCTCTCCACGATCTTTCGTTACAAAGTTTCAGGAAATCCAAAGAAATGTGCTTTTGCTTGCTTTTTAGGCGATTTTTAGGATTTTTTTCGTAAATTATACTATTATACAACATCGCTAGATATCGCTCTACACGACGTTTCTTTGCAAAGTTATACAATTTACACGAAAAGCCCTGAATTAATTTCTTCTTATTTCTGTAGCTTTGAGCTAACAATGGCATTTAGGGCTTTTCGTGTAAATTCTATAGCTTTGCAAAAAATGGCCATGTAGAGCTGGGAGATATCTCATTTTAATCAGAAATTTGCGGTCTACAATCATGCCTCATTAAGAAAGGTTTTGGTTATTCTGTTAGAATTTCTGAAAACTTGGTTTTACAGAAAACCGGTCTCTGGAGATCTAGCAGCACAAACCGATGTCAGATTCGGATTTAGCGCAGTCGATTACTTATTGTCCACTAGAGTTCAAGCAAAAAAGCGACTGCACACTTGGGGACCTTTCGTCGTTAGAACTTCGCTGGAGAGGGTAGTCTAGAAAACTTTCTTCAAAACCTTTTCTTCTGGACTTTGACGCATACTACATCTGATAGAAAACTTCACAGGCTACTAAATTACTATTCAGATTTGACCTAGCTGCTCGGCTTCTTCGAAAATTTCAAAAATACAGTGGCTCTATAAGTTTTTTCGGTACTGTAAGCTGCTCGAAATGAAGCCATTCGTTTATCGAAGATCTTTCTAATGCAAGAAACTCAAATTTCTAAGATTCAATCATCGATGAATGACGTCGAAAAAAATCTGTTATTTTCTGAGTAAAGTCTTAAGTATCGATATGCTATTGCAAAACAAACGATGATACGATTTCGGTTGCCTTTGTACGGATACTACTTAGAACATGGTTCCCTACATTTATTAACAGTAAACTTCATCTGCCAACATTCAAACGAACTAACGTAAAAAAGACTTAACTACACGTGATAAGAGTCAGACTATAGTTGATTATTGATAATGATTGAAGTTAAAAATGTTCTTTCTGTAATATGTTTTGATTGCTTAGATCATCAGATTATAGTTTGTCAGAAATATCTGGAGCACACGTAACTTATTCACCAACTCTCGTGCAATTCTCGTCCATTCAAAGACTAAGCAACAATCATGCTGTTCGTATTCATTTGACACCAGATCCAACTCCTACACGTCATCCTTTAAGACGTGAATCAGTAATGAATAATGACCGTCGAGATTCACGTCGCGAATCAATGTGGCCATTCAAAACAAATTTTAATTTTCATCGTCAAACGAGTAAACAGAAAGATCATACATTTTTTCATGGTTGATTCCACTATAAAGTAACCGATACATATTTGTTACATTCATAGTTAGCTATTCTTTTGGACTAGAAAATAGTTAGAAACAATATCAGTGAAAAGACGATTGAACACTATGCGAATTTGACTAATAAATCACATTTTTTATATATGTCGCAGTAGAAATTAAAATTTCATTTTCTACTAGGAGAAATTAAAATAAGCGGCGATTTTAAGTTGCACTAGTAGAAATTGAAATTTTAATCTCTACTATAGGAGAATTTTAAGTTCTACTAGAAAGTTTAGATAACGGAAGTATTTTAATTTCTACTGTAGTGGAAATTAAAATACACATTTAGATGGATGATGATATGTACAAGCACATGCATTATTTATTAGTAAAGGAGACAACAGCACAGGAAATTGTTGAATATATCAAAGAGTTTACATCTATTTATTTGAACAGTGTTTTTTTTAGCAGGATGGCA